CATGTTAGCCCTGACAGAAAGCTCACTTTTTGTAGTGGGGGCTCATTTTTTGTTGCTGTTGTTTGTGCTTCTAAAAAAGGTAACACACAGCTGTTACTGGATATCACACATCATTGATAAAATGACTATCTCTAATTCATCTCAGAGTGATGAAGCTTTTTTCTTTTAGCCCAACAACATATCAACAGGAGACAAAAACAAAAACACAAAGGTCAGGGGTTCAGGGTTAATGTATGTGTGGCACGAAACAAAAGCACCCTGTACTATACAGAGAGAGGCGAGGGGCGAAAGCGCCAGAATACCACGGCCAAAAAGCTGAACCTGTGTGCGCGTGTGTGAATGAAACTGCTGCTTCATTACAACCTGCTGACTGCTACCTCTGTGGGTGGGGGCCAGAGGGGGGTTCGCGGCTCGAGCCCCTCCCAATGTATGTGTGGAAATGTTGCCTGAAAGCTATGCTGAGTCCACTAACTCGTTCTCTCTATGAAGCTGTACCGAGATATCACAATAAATATATATATATCTATTTTAAAAAAGCATAAATACTAGAGCGGAAGCAAAAACAAATTCAGCGGTAAAAGCAGCGTGCTTAAACTCAGAAGTCATTCAGATTCAGATTCAGAGGGACGTGCGGTGATATTTCGAGTGACGCCGACTCGACCGTATGACACTTTGTTTCTGTGAAATGTTTGCGAAGACGAGTCTCTGCGGCACACGCGCAGCTCGGCTTCAATGAAATAAAAACGCTGCGAAGCAAAGCGCAACATCTGTGTTAGTTGGGAAACGTCTGAGTGCTTGATTACTTCCGTTGGGTCTGTTTAACGGTTTAAAGATTAAGCATCAGTGCATACACACCAACACAATTTGAGGTTAAAACAGTGGGCACTGTGAAATGTTGATTTCCTGTGACTGATCCCAACTGTGAGTAATGCCTGGATTGTGGAGGGCTGACAGTATCCACACATGGCTGATGCTATAATTTCTTCACTGCATCATCTTTATGTGTTTGAATCCTTACAAAAAAGGAGAACTCTAACATTATGAATGAGTAATGATGTGGGAACAAATTCTTCATGTTTCATCTGAATTGTGTGCGTGTAAAAACCTTTCACATTCAGTCAGACATAAAGTCGAGGATACTTTGACTTCGGTTTCTTGTGTGTGTGCAGCACAAACTAAACAAACTTACCAAATTTTCCCTTTCTGACGTGTATGTACATTTTGTTTGTTAACAAAAAAAAAAATCCAAAATGACCTAACCCTGGTTTATTTGTACTGTACATGGAAATGAGCGTTAATGATAAAATATATTGACCTTGGGACTACGAGCCACATGCAAATTCAGGTTTGCCTTTCTCATAAAGTGCTTGTTAAATAAAAGAAAAACTATTGAGATTTTAGTGTACTGTAGTTCTTTTGTCTTTTCCTTCTTCCTCCTGGTCTTTCGCTGGTGTCCCCAGAAAAGTGCTTTGGTTGTGAAAAAGTTATCGACCGTCTCGGTCGAAAACGAAAACTCCTTCGTTATCAGCTCTTCTTCATTGTCCGTGAAAATAAAAATGCATGAAAACAGATGACTCTCAGAGCCGATGTCAGGAAATCCTTTTGTGAACAGATGCAAAAAGATACGAGAGGTGGCGATGGCGGCAGATTCGCAGCTTTTGCGTAGATCTGAGCATTAGCTCCAGTTTCTCCAGTCTGTCCACGCACTCATACCAAAAGTGTACCTGTACAGGTAAGAGCATGAGTGTCGGGATGCGTGTGTTTGTAGTGTACTGTGAAGGAGGCCGTCAGTCTGCTACACCAAGTTCTCAATACCAGGCAAAGGCTGCTCTATCTGCACAGGAGGGTCTGTGCTGCCGGCCTGCTGGGCGAGCTGCAAGACGGGCATGTTGCACAGCGGGCACACTTTCCTCACCTCCAGCCACTTAATGAGGCACCTGAAGGAAAGAAAAAGCACAGCGCTTATAATTAAAGGCAGGGATGAAAGAAGCGAGCGATTCAGAGGGTACAGGAAAAATAGGATAGCAGCTTGTAAGCAGGAAAAAGCATCAAAATCAGAATCAGCTTTATTGATTATTATGGGTTCACACGGAGATGGGCTCCAGTTAGCTCTTAGCTCTCAATGTACGTAACGGAATTGATAACTGACAACAGCAACACGTATGGCATATTTATATTTACATGTGCAGTGGTGCCACAATGTTGTAATAAATTATGGAATAAACAAAATGCGGTATGTTTAAATCAATTTAGAGAAAGTGCCATGACATAGTTTTTCCACCAGTGGGCGCTAATAAATTGCATGATGTAGCCGTTAACACATTCGCTTTATGGCAGCGGTCCCCAACCTTTTTTGCGCCACGGACCGGTTTATGCCCGACAATATTTTCACGGACCGGCCTTTAAGGTGTCGCGGATAAATACAACAAAATAAAACTAGTACCGGTACCGAAAAAAAGAAGATTTATTCATAACACACGTGAAAAGACCCAGGAAAACTGAGTTAACGATAAAAACGATAACAAAATAACGCTGAAAACCGATAAAAACCCTGAAAACTATACATTTCACACCTGAGCCTCAACTCTCGCGGCCCGGTACCAAACGACTCACTGACCGGTACCAGTCCGAGGCCCAGGGGTTGGGGACCGCTGCTTTACGGGGGTTACACTTCTTTATTAAATCTACCCCATAGGTACGTCATAACCACAGACCCCTTTGACGGAAACGAGATGATAACGAAGTATGAAGAACTATGAAGAAATGCACTGACACTTTTGTTAACAAATAAAAACAAGACAAAATTTTTCTGGAGAGACGAGATCCAATCAGAATTAATCTCCTGCAGTAAGGTTAGACGCACACGTTTGATCAGGCCCCCCATCTTTTAAAACCTAAAACTAGACCAAAACTACAAGAATTTAGATGCCTAAATTATGACTAAAACTAAGTATGAATTAAAGACTTGCACATGAGTCTCAGGAGGGGTCACAAGTTAGTGACGTTTTACATGATGAATTACATCTGGAAGCCCATCTGGTATAAAATCTATCCCAAATAAAAACAAACAAACAAACAAAAAAAACCCCACGCAGAGTGGAAAATAAAGGGGGCAAATAAATATAAACCTCATATACCAAAGACAACTTTTTTTTCTGGGTTTATCCTAAAATATTTGTGTCTGCATGTTCTCCACATGCTTGCGCGGCTTTCTATAGGAGTTTTATTTCCACCTGGCCTAATGGGGGCGCCCTTTTAAAAGCGTTCTTTGCCACAAGTTTCATCTCATAAGTAAATATGCGTTTTGTTTCTCAGTCTTTTGGCCATTACCCAGAGCTCATAATAATAATTAAGTGGTCAAATGTAGATCACCAGAGGCTTTGCTTTCTGTCTTCCAGTGGCTGTGTTCAAGAGGAAAATATATATCAGCTCATTAACTAGGAAAAAAAACCACATACATTTGCAAACCGTCGCGCATCTATTCCTACAGCCGCTCAGACCCAAGTGTAGCCAAAATCCTCATAAAGAGACAGCCAGGTGAGAGGAGATTTATTTCCAGCTCTCAGAGTGCAACACTTTAAGCAGTTAATAACCACAAACAACATCTACAACTGTATGTACACATCCACAAATCTTGATACAGATTTTGATTACACGCAAGGATCAAGACAAACATATCCCTAAATTCACAAATAATTCTGCACTTGCATGACTCACTAGCACTTCTTTTATGTTATTTCTTTTTCACTAACCAAACATTCACTGGAACCCTATTTTTCTTGTATAATTTGCCTCTCTTGTCATCATTTGTAAAAAGATCTACCCAGCAATACCCTCCTCAATAAACCTTTTCCTCTGCACAGCGGCATGCCTTTCCTTACCTTGCACAAGAGCAGAGCAGTGTATATAGAGGTGAGGGGTCACTACTCTTGCAGCAACTACAGAGAAAAACTAGGCCAAGGGAGGCATCGTGCTGTTATAATGAACTCAGCTGAAGTAGGAGGTCATGGGGGGAGGTGTGGGACAAACAGGTTGAAGCAATCCAACATGTCATCTGCAGTTCCCAATTCATAAACACTGGGCTTTAGTTTAGTGTCCCAAAAACATGCAACTCTGAGGCATTTGTTATTGTTGGCTTCCACACAAACGCAACAAGCTTGACAATAATTGTTCACCCTAAGTCTCTGAAATTGCAGAACATCTAGCAATTTGTATTTACTATTATTGTTCAGTCTGACGTCACTAGCCGTGTCTGGACCTAAACTCCGCTGCAGGTCCATATATCAAACGATCACTATGGCATTACTGAGAGTTGAAAAACTGTCTAAAGTCTTTCATCTTTAATAAAATGATCAGCGTTCTGCTCTACCAGGTGTAACAATTGAGTTTAACATCCAGGCATCCATGAAAACGGAATTTATGACATTTAACGGAGTTAGAAGTTAGCAGGGAGTTAGCTCGCTAGCTTCTATCTAAATACAATATAGCATGTCCTGACTGCGGGGTTTTGGAAACAAATTAAAACGTACAGCTCTGCTATCACTTCCAGCATAAATGAAGACAGAAAACTAAACAGCAGTGACGTTTGTAGGGTTACTGAAGTTGGGCTAGCTGGTATATAATGATGTGCTACGTGACCGCTAGCGACACAGCTATGTTAGCATAATATAAACAAGCTAACTTTTTTTCCACTCGATAAAAGTTAACGTGAGTGTTCTCGGTGGTCAGGAACAAATGTAATCGCATGGCAGGATGCTGTAAAAGGACCAAACTTCAGCCAGGAGAACAACTGAGATAATCCATCCACAATACGAGGTTAGTCATTCATATACTGCTGCATGGGCTGGGCTGTAGTTACATCCTAAGGTTTTAAAAACTGAGCTTAAATAAATGATTAGTGGTAAATCTCTCTGTGATGGGAAATAAATATTTAAATAAAAACAAGCTGCTGATTATTTCACATTTTACTTGTGAGCAACGGCACATTTAAATCTTACAAATATAGTTATTTGGCTTATATCGTGAAACATATCGTTATCGCCTGAAATGAAAAAACCATATCGTGATATGAAAAAATCTCATATCGCCCAGCTCTAATAGAAGTGCAGAAAAACAGTCACAGCCTTTTTGTAACCGAAACCGAGAAGAGAGAAGGCAACAAATTCTGCCCGTCACATGCTGCAGGATTTGATGCTGCTTCATTTGTTCAACATAAAACTCTTTTGAAGTGGAGATGTTGTCTGATACACGCCCTGCTCACCTAGTGTCCTAATAAGTCTGTTTGGGATTGGCCAATATGTTTCAATCAGCCTTAACATTTTTATGTAGCACCGTGCTGCTTCCATGCAGGAGGAGTGACCGTCACACAAGATAGAAAAATAACCCTGTTTTTGTTCTTATTTAATGTCCACAGAGGTCAACACTGCGGTGTGTGTGGCCTGACATTCAGATCAAAGTAACAATGGAAGAAGCATCGTCCACGTATTGTGAACCTCAACCTTTGTGTAATAATTGAGAAAGAAAGCAGCCAGAAAACAGAACAATCAGTTAGCATGTTAGCCCTGACAGAAAGCTCACTTTTTGTAGTGGGGGCTCATTTTTTGTTGCTGTTGTTTGTGCTTCTAAAAAAGGTAACACACAGCTGTTACTGGATATCACACATCATTGATAAAATGACAATCTCTAATTCATCTCAGAGTGATGAAGCTTTTTTCTTTTAGCCCAACAACATATTAACAGGAGACAAAAACAAAAACACAAAGGTCAGGGGTTCAGGGTTAATGTATGTGTGGCACGAAACAAAAGCACCCTGTACTATACAGAGAGAGGCGAGGGGCGAAAGCGCCAGAATACCACGGCCAAAAAGCTGAACCTGTGTGCGCGTGTGTGAATGAAACTGCTGCTTCATTACAACCTGCTGACTGCTACCTCTGTGGGTGGGGGCCAGAGGGGGGTTCGCGGCTTGAGCCCCTCCCAATGTATGTGTGGAAATGTTGCCTGAAAGCTATGCTGAGTCCACTAACTTGTTCTCTCTATGAAGCTGTACCGAGATATCACAATAAATATATATATATATATATCTATTTTAAAAAAGCATAAATACTAGAGCGGAAGCAAAAACAAATTCAGCGGTAAAAGCAGCGTGCTTAAACTCAGAAGTCATTCAGATTCAGATTCAGAGGGACGTGCGGTGATATTTCGAGTGACGCCGACTCGACCGTATGACACTTTGTTTCTGTGAAATGTTTGCGAAGACGAGTCTCTGTGGCACACGCGCAGCTCGGCTTCAATGAAATAAAAACGCTGCGAAGCAAAGCGCAACATCTGTGTTAGTTGGGAAACGTCTGAGTGCTTGATTACTTCCGTTGGGTCTGTTTAACGGTTTAAAGATTAAGCATCAGTGCATACACACCAACACAATTTGAGGTTAAAACAGTGGGCACTGTGAAATGTTGATTTCCTGTGACTGATCCCAACTGTGAGTAATGCCTGGATTGTGGAGGGCTGACAGTATCCACACATGGCTGATGCTATAATTTGTTCACTGCATCATCTTTATGTGTTTGAATCCTTACAAAAAAGGAGAACTGTAACATTATGAATGAGTAATGATGTGGGAACAAATTCTTCATGTTTCATCTGAATTGTGTGCGTGTAAAAACCTTTCACATTCAGTCAGACATAAAGTCGAGGATACTTTGACTTCGGTTTCTTGTGTGTGTGCAGCACAAACTAAACAAACTTACCAAATTTTCCCTTTCTGACGTGTATGTACATTTTGTTTGTTAACAAAAAAAAAAATCCAAAATGACCTAACCCTGGTTTATTTGTACTGTACATGGAAATGAGCGTTAATGATAAAATATATTGACCTTGGGACTACGAGCCACATGCAAATTCAGGTTTGCCTTTCTCATAAAGTGCTTGTTAAATAAAAGAAAAACTATTGAGATTTTAGTGTACTGTAGTTCTTTTGTCTTTTCCTTCTTCCTCCTGGTCTTTCGCTGGTGTCCCCAGAAAAGTGCTTTGGTTGTGAAAAAGTTATCGACCGTCTCGGTCGAAAACGAAAACTCCTTCGTTATCAGCTCTTCTTCATTGTCCGTGAAAATAAAAATGCATGAAAACAGATGACTCTCAGAGCCGATGTCAGGAAATCCTTTTGTGAACCGATGCAAAAAGATACGAGAGGTGGCGATGGCGGCAGATTCGCAGCTTTTGCGTAGATCTGAGCATTAGCTCCAGTTTCTCCAGTCTGTCCACGCACTCATACCAAAAGTGTACCTGTACAGGTAAGAGCATGAGTGTCGGGATGCGTGTGTTTGTAGTGTACTGTGAAGGAGGCCGTCAGTCTGCTACACCAAGTTCTCAATACCAGGCAAAGGCTGCTCTATCTGCACAGGAGGGTCTGTGCTGCCGGCCTGCTGGGCGAGCTGCAAGACGGGCATGTTGCACAGCGGGCACACTTTCCTCACCTCCAGCCACTTAATGAGGCACCTGAAGGAAAGAAAAAGCACAGCGCTTATAATTAAAGGCAGGGATGAAAGAAGCGAGCGATTCAGAGGGTACAGGAAATATAGGATAGCAGCTTGTAAGCAGGAAAAAGCATCAAAATCAGAATCAGCTTTATTGATTATTATGGGTTCACACGGAGATGGGCTCCAGTTAGCTCTTAGCTCTCAATGTACGTAACGGAATTGATAACTGACAACAGCAACACGTATGGCATATTTATATTTACATGTGCAGTGGTGCCACAATGTTGTAATAAATTATGGAATAAACAAAATGCGGTATGTTTAAATCAATTTAGAGAAAGTGCCATGACATAGTTTTTCCACCAGTGGGCGCTAATAAATTGCATGATGTAGCCGTTAACACATTCGCTTTATGGCAGCGGTCCCCAACCTTTTTTGCGCCACGGACCGGTTTATGCCCGACAATATTTTCACGGACCGGCCTTTAAGGTGTCGCGGATAAATACAACAAAATAAAACTAGAACCGGTACCGAAAAAAAGAAGATTTATTCATAACACACATGAAAAGATCCAGGAAAACTGAGTTAACGATAAAAACAATAACAAAATAACGCTGAAAACCGATAAAAACCCTGAAAACTATACATTTCACACCTGAGCCTCAACTCTCGCGGCCCGGTACCAAACGACTCACTGACCGGTACCAGTCCGAGGCCCAGGGGTTGGGGACCACTGCTTTACGGGGGTTACACTTCTTTATTAAATCTACCCCATAGGTACGTCATAACCACAGACCCCTTTGACGGAAACGAGATGATAACGAAGTATGAAGAACTATGAAGAAATGCACTGACACTTTTGTTAACAAATAAAAACAAGACAAAATTTTTCTGGAGAGACGAGATCCAATCAGAATTAATCTCCTGCAGTAAGGTTAGACGCACACGTTTGATCAGGCCCCCCATCTTTTAAAACCTAAAACTAGACCAAAACTACAAGAATTTAGATGCCTAAATTATGACTAAAACTAAGTATGAATTAAAGACTTGCACATGAGTCTCAGGAGGGGTCACAAGTTAGTGACGTTTTACATGATGAATTACATCTGGAAGCCCATCTGGTATAAAATCTATCCCAAATAAAAACAAACAAACAAACAAACAAACAAAAAAAACCCCACGCAGAGTGGAAAATAAAGGGGGCAAATAAATATAAACCTCATATACCAAAGACAACTTTTTTTTCTGGGTTTATCCTAAAATATTTGTGTCTGCATGTTCTCCACATGCTTGCGCGGCTTTCTATAGGAGTTTTATTTCCACCTGGCCTAATGGGGGCGCCCTTTTAAAAGCGTTCTTTGCCACAAGTTTCATCTCATAAGTAAATATGCGTTTTGTTTCTCAGTCTTTTGGCCATTACCCAGAGCTCATAATAATAATTAAGTGGTCAAATGTAGATCACCAGAGGCTTTGCTTTCTGTCTTCCAGTGGCTGTGTTCAAGAGGAAAATATATATCAGCTCATTAACTAGGAAAAAAAACCACATACATTTGCAAACCGTCGCGCATCTATTCCTACAGCCGCTCAGACCCAAGTGTAGCCAAAATCCTCATAAAGAGACAGCCAGGTGAGAGGAGATTTATTTCCAGCTCTCAGAGTGCAACACTTTAAGCAGTTAATAACCACAAACAACATCTACAACTGTATGTACACATCCACAAATCTTGATACAGATTTTGATTACACGCAAGGATCAAGACAAACATATCCCTAAATTCACAAATAATTCTGCACTTGCATGACTCACTAGCACTTCTTTTATGTTATTTCTTTTTCACTAACCAAACATTCACTGGAACCCTATTTTTCTTGTATAATTTGCCTCTCTTGTCATCATTTGTAAAAAGATCTACCCAGCAATACCCTCCTCAATAAACCTTTTCCTCTGCACAGCGGCATGCCTTTCCTTACCTTGCACAAGAGCAGAGCAGTGTATATAGAGGTGAGGGGTCACTACTCTTGCAGCAACTACAGAGAAAAACTAGGCCAAGGGAGGCATCGTGCTGTTATAATGAACTCAGCTGAAGTAGGAGGTCATGGGGGGAGGTGTGGGACAAACAGGTTGAAGCAATCCAACATGTCATCTGCAGTTCCCAATTCATAAACACTGGGCTTTAGTTTAGTGTCCCAAAAACATGCAACTCTGAGGCATTTGTTATTGTTGGCTTCCACACAAACGCAACAAGCTTGACAATAATTGTTCACCCTAAGTCTCTGAAATTGCAGAACATCTAGCAATTTGTATTTACTATTAGATTGTTCAGTCTGATGTCACTAGCCGTGTCTGGACCTAAACTCCGCTGCAGGTCCATATATCAAACGATCACTATGGCATTACTGAGAGTTGAAAAACTGTCTAAAGTCTTTCATCTTTAATAAAATAATCAGCGTTCTGCTCTACCAGGTGTAACAATTGAGTTTAACATCCAGGCATCCATGAAAACAGAATTTATGACATTTAACGGAGTTAGAAGTTAGCAGGGAGTTAGCTCGCTAGCTTCTATCTAAATACAATATAGCATGTCCTGACTGCGGGGTTTTGGAAACAAAAACGTACAGCTCTGCTATCACTTCCAGCATAAATGAAGACAGAAAACTAGACAGCAGTGACGTTTGTAGGGTTACTGAAGTTGGGCTAGCTGGTATATAATGATGTGCTACGTGACCGCTAGCGACACAGCTATGTTAGCATAATATAAACAAGCTAACTTTTTTTCCTCTCGATAAAAGTTAACGTGAGTGTTCTCGGTGGTCAGGAACAAATGTAATCGCATGGCAGGATGCTGTAAAAGGACCAAACTTCAGCCAGGAGAACAACTGAGATAATCCATCCACAATACAAGGTTAGTCATTCATATACTGCTGCATGGGCTGGGCTGTAGTTACATCCTAAGGTTTTAAAAACTGAGCTTAAATAAATGATTAGTGGTAATAAAAGCCGAGGGAGGTCAACAGTGATCACTGACTGTTTTTTGAGATTAAATAGAAGAAAATACATAACATTAAACATATTAACAACACAAAAGCCATATTAAACGCAGACTACTTTAGGCCCGGAAGTAGGATTTGTCGCGTCATCACTGAACAACCGGATACCTAAAAAGCGGGAAAATCAATGGAAATACACCATCCAGATAAAGAAATCTATAATGACTTGTTTGTCCTTGATTGGATGTGTACAAACGTGTGTGTCTGTGTGTGCTTGTGCATGTCAATAAGACCGTGTACTCACTTCCTATGAAAGGCGTGTTTGCATGGACAAATCCCCAGCTCATCTTTCTGTTTGAACTCCTCCAAGCACACTGCACAAATCTGAAAGAGATTGGGGGAGTTAGGAGGTGCTTTCTGTATAAAGCCATGCATCATCTTTAGCTTTGTGTTAGTGAAAAGAACAAACACACACACACACAAAAAAAAAAAAACTTTTACCAACAACACCAAAAACTTAACAAAAACCCACCTCAAAACACCCTGAAAAAACCCCCAAAACCACGGAAAAAAGTCCAACTGACCAACTATGCCTGTTGTATAACTCTGATGCAACTCTCATGGGGACTTGTTCCGTTCGCGGCCAAGAGGCCACACATTACAGTAGTTTTGGTTTTCCCCTTTTCAACAGGAAAACAATCAACACTGTAATGTAGATGGTGAGAGATTATCAGTTCATTTCTGGAGTCGTAAGTTAGAAAAGCTGAGAGATCTTCAGATCTGGTTTGAATGAAACAAGAAAGCATACTAAAGCCCGCACTATAACTACAATTCAAGACTTTAAACTCGATTGTAAGACATTAACCATTTCTGGGCAGTTCAGCTCGAGTTCCCTGAAAAAAAGTCCTTGTCAGGGTCATTGAGAAATTCCCGATGAGCAGGATGTGGATGCCATTTTGGTTTAAACAAAAACACTTTCAACTAGCGTAACAGGTCACCTTATAGTTTTAGCTAACTGTTGTGGTTGTGTGGAATTCTTGGAAATTAGGAAGTGAAACACGTGGGGATGGAAAAAATAATATTCCACTGATCCGTTCACCCCTCCACCGCCTGTAAATTCTATTTTGGTGGCTTTAGATGAGCGTGATGATGAGCCCTTGGCCTTTAACTGGGTTAAGAATAGATCCTGGGTTCACAATCGATTGCAGTAATATTATGATAGCCTATTATGAGCAACACTGGCTCAATCATCCCCTTCCCCTTGACTTTGAGTAACTGCAGGCCTTTCATCAAAGAAACAATGCAGCCCTTTCATGTAGTCGCTGGAATTCAGCGCTCATCAAAATTCCTCTATGAGAGACCCAGCAGAGAACGTTATTTCTAAAACTCCTACAGCATCCATCCATCTATACATTTTCTTCCACCAATCCGATTCAAAGTTGCAGAGTTACTATAGCCTATCCCATCTGTCATAGGGTGGAAGGCAGGCAATTAAGTTTTTCCCCATACAATACTGAGTTTAAATTAACTGGCAACTCAAGAAAGCATTGTTAAACCCAGATTTATCTTCATTACAACTGCTTGGGAAGGCTAGGAGAGCTTCCTAGCCATTACTCCCCAACTGTTTTACATGGATTACGACTTTTCTGCACTTAGAGTAACAGGTTTTCTTCACTTCACCCATCTCTTCTTTGCTTCATTTCATACATATGGAAGGGAACAGACATATGTATATTATTCCAGAAATAGAAAACTAGACTCTGAAATCACATTAGCTTCTGTCTATTTTCTCTCTTTTTTGTGTTTGATCAATGTAGCTGACTGACACGCATGCTCATATTAAATTTGTGCAGAGGTGCAAGCATTGAGCGATGCCTGTGCATGACCGTCGGTGACGCAGGTCTTATTATGATGGAGATGCTGACGTGAATCTATGGTGGGGCAAATTATACAGTTCACAAACACCCAAGAACCGCACGGCACACTAAGCGCTATTTGACGTGCTACTTATTTCAGGCATGCCGGCTACATTTGATCAATTCAGATTCAGATGGATTTCTCTTCCAGTAAGAAGAGTGCTCTCTCAATTTAATGTTGCTTGAAACAAATTAAAATGAGAAGTATCCTGAAAGAGTCATCGTTCCCAACCGTTCCTATAACTTGCAGCAAATCTTACTACCTATCCATGCCATCAATGGCCAGCTGGGATGATTTCACAGTGGAGGTAAAGTCTAGGGAAGTATTGTGAACTCTGAAATAGATAAACTGTTGGTCTATGAAGCCAATTTTCATACAGCCTTTACAGTAGAAGCTTTTAATGAGGGGCTCACTGGCTATTCAAACTCGGCGACATTTTCTCTCTAACTTCTATTTTACAAGTGCTGAATGGATGACTGTGGATGAAAAGAACAGTATGGGGGGCTTTAGCTTCCACTCCTGAGGAGTTTTGGACACACAACACTTCTCTGTTAAGATGTCTGCTTTGGTCTCTTGATTGGTGAATAGATCAGTGTTCTTGTTTTTCTCAGTGCCTTTTTCTGTGGCGTCACCCTCACGGCTTAGATGTGACACTGTCGGCCAACTTTTGACAGAACCTATTTTTTCACTGTTAAGTGGATTAATCCTGCAAGCTTCCAAAAACTGTACAAAAAAACCCAAAAGACACTCTACCCTCTTGTTGATTTTATTGAAGCAAGAACAGTACATGAATGCCAAGCAATGCTCTGCAGACAAAGAGCGTTCTTCATTCAACTCAGCCAAGCAACAGAAAGAGATCAAATTAACAGGTAGAGAAAAAGACCATCCGAGGATCAGCGTAATGCTTAAAACGAAATTGTGAGAAAGAGCAGACGTGTGAAGGACTCCGATCTCCTCATCTCTAGTGATGAGAACATGTTGCCTAGCACGCTGGGACCACAAACTGTAATTACCACCCACAGTCTTACCACTTTCTACTGTGTAAAGAGGTACTAAGAGGAACATTAATACCAAGAGTTTCACAGTTTCCCCATCTGCAGACGTTTACTTTCATTTCAATCACTGCATATACACTTTTTAAAATTAAAAGTTTAGAGGAAGCTGAAGTTTATGATGATGCACTTACATTAAAATCAGGTCACTAACCTTTAGCCATCATTTTTTTTAACAGGAACACACAACATGTAACATACAGTTAAAAAAGATTTTTTTAAAAAAGCTCCACCAATGTGTAAAAGAAACAAAACACTCGCCAAAACCCATCAGTGACAAACAAAATGACGCTATAATGTATTAGATGTATTCTTTGAATTTAATGCAGCAAACATCTCTAAAAGAAAAAAAAAAAAGCAAAATAAACTCCTCACAAAGCAAAACGAACCCTTACAATGCCAAATATTTGCTACATGAGTTTATGATACCTCCATATTATCAATCTAATTCTATTTTTTTTAAAGATACAATGTAAACAATAACTTGCCCAAATTCCAAATAACACAAATTAATTAATTTCGTATTTGTCAGAAACTTCAATAAACACTCTAGTTTCAAATAATTTTACTTTTCTGGGCTTTACACGGTTAAAACAACTGAATGTTTACAATAGGCAGTTGCTGCCACTTGCTAACTGTATTCTTGCATACATATTCCCAGGCTATTCATCCAGCTCAACATCAATAACTCTCAACATATGACCAACAACCATATCAAACTGATAAAGCAAATTACACAGCACTAGATAAGATGAATGAAAGATAAAGATATGAAATCATTACCTCTGCCCTACATAGATAGGAAAATACAACCACAGCAAATAGACACAGTGTTATGTATTGCACTGCTGGAACATGACAGGCATATTTCATGCAGGTCTCAAAGCGTGACTTTTAGTTTTTTTTAATCAAAGTCATTCAGCACTGATGTGTTTGTGCAGCTTTTCCTATTTTAAAAACGTCCCAAAAACAACACGATACACTTGGGAGTTGGGGGGAGGGTTTCCAAGCATCTGGTATATTTTTAGATGTGTGCACTTGTTTATAACTACAAATACACACACACACACAAAAAAAGTCTGAGAAGACACAGAAGCATGAACTTCATGTGATGCTATTACGACAGCCACTCTTTACATAAAACCGACATAACATGTAAGACAGTTAATGTAGACTGGGATCAAAGCCATGCTAAAAACAGCACCAGCTTAGGATGGTGCTGTTCAAGTTACAGACTTATATAAACACTCAGTGGGTTCCATATTACACTGCTATGCTATATATATAAAAGACCAAATCCACATAGCTTAGGCTGTGTTCATTTCCACCGGGTAATCCTGTGAGCCTGGAACTGGGTCAGCCTTGTGTGCATATATATTATTGTCCTTAAACACAGCTTGGTTACTCTGTCACGCGCTTCATTCACACGACACTTTGTGATGCTTTCTCCCTCGATTCCTAATAACATAAATAAAACCCCGAAGCCTGATGGGACAGCAGGAAATTCCAGCACGGCTGATGAGAAAATATGGCCATGCCTGTGCCAAAGCACACACGAAGATGCTATTTGTTGACATTTCATTTTCGCTGCTCTGTTAAAAGGCTGTCTGCAAGAAGCGATGCAGCTTTACTTCTGCGTTTGTAATTTTCCAACCACACTGAGCTGACACCGAGCATTACGTAATAATAACAGGGAGGACGTTAATGCCTTAACTACACCTTTTCACATGACAATGAGTGAAGACACATGTTGAATGTTGGATGACAAACAGTGCGTATCAGTCATCACTGTTGTCAAACTAAATCTTAACAAACCCTATTCAAACACGGTGAACGTCTGTTCGCGATGTTTATTGCATAACATCTTTGTGGACGTCGCACTTGTTTTACATTGTGGGCCACATAGGGATCCCTTTGATGTTAATCCCAGAGATATCTTAATATAAAAAAGACATGCAATTCCAACAGCATGTGTCAGTTTCTCTACACGATAAAAAAATAAATGTTTGAAATTACAGATAAAGTTTTAGTTAAAAGACTAAAATCTCTGCCCTCCTTCACTTGTTCCAAAGCCATCCAGTTGGCCAGATTGGAGTCTTTGCCAGGCCAATTCTAGCCCCTGGATCTTATGTTTGATACCTCTGCTCTAAACTTTTTTTGTAACATTAAATTGTTGCTTCACAGGCCCAGAGCTCTGGACTTTGTTTTAAATTAAATGACGACCCAGGACATCTCCTATGCAAGTACAAAACTAAGAGGATGAGATTAAAAACCTGAATAAAAACACACGGTGGGGCTACAGCTAAGACGTTTGTGACTGACAGGTTCAAAATTGACAGAGAACAGTGTCTGCTGCTGATACTGCGTGACAAACTGTTGCAGTAGATGCAGCAAGCCTTGACAGTGATGCCTGATATTAGCCAACGAAACAGAAAAGCACTTACCTCATGCAAATTTAGCTCTTTGACTTTTTCCTTCTGAATGACCTAAAGGTGCAATAACAGAAGAAGAACCATTAGTTAGATTAACACTGTATGAGAATAATTATAACCAGTTCCTGAACAGAAACATCACAATATTAGACACTAAAATGTGTGATTAACACTCAGAGAGACACAACGCACAAAACATGTGTTTATATTCTGTGATGCCATGTTTGGATGCTTTTTGCATGCTGGTAATACACAGTATTACATAATGTAAGTTTGTTAACACCTTCCATCTCTCTTTCTTTCTTTACACGCTATTATCCGCTCACATCTTTCACATAACCGTGACTTTTCCAGCGCTTTACTCTTATCCGGGAGTGCTGGACGTGCACGCATGCTTACAAAAGACACAAACCCTTTAAAATTCTTGCTGCTGCCTAAGGAGTCAGCAATGGGAATTTTAAATGATGGCCAATGCACAGCTGATATAAACTAGACACTGCAATGATACTTCATTTCTGCGGTGCATTTAGGTACAGATGATTTCCTATCTCTGAAGTGTGTGTGTGTGTGTGTGTGTGTGTGTGTGTGTGTGTGTGTGTGTGTGTGCGCGCGCTTTTTCTTACTTGTTTGTAAGCATATAGCTCTTTGTGCGCCTGGTGCCGTAACCTGGGGAGAAGTAAAGACAAAACACCTTTTTGATTAATAATTGGCCTCCTTCACTTGACTCTATAACACAGAAACAATCCACATGTCCTGAAAAAAAATTTCCTAGAGTCAGTCTACTCTAGTTTATCAGCAGGGGTGCTTTAATTAAAATGATAAACACTGTCATAACTTGGTGTACATAACTAGTTCAGAAATTATTTCGCTAAGAGACAGAGCAGTGCGCAACCATGAGATATGTTTGGGTTGTGCATTTTTCTCGTGAGTGCACGAGTCCTGCTTCTGGCAAGCTTCACCCCCTCACACAGGGTAAGTAAAATATTTCTAAAGCAACATGTTTTTAAATCTTTTTGACTAGCAATGCAGAAGCTGAGAGCAGGGAAGAGAGCCTGGAGAGCTGGAGGTATGCAATGGAGAGGAGAAAGAGTAAAGGCAGCAGAAGCGAGATAGAATACACGTGTGTGAATGAGAGGGCAAGAGCAGGAAAGGAGACCATGCAAGGATGAAAGGCAGTGAAGGTCGATGAGTTTAAATACCTGGAGTCAACCATCCAAAGAAACAGACAATGGATAAGAGAGGGGAAGAAGAGAGTGCAGACACGGAGATGTAGTGAGACCTACTATGATGTATGATTTAGAGACGGTGGCACGGACAAAAAGACAGGAGGCTAAGCTGAAGATGCTAAGTTTTTCACTGGGAATGACCAGCAGGGATTAGAAACGGGTACATCAGAGTTTGGACACAAAGTTGAAGCAGCAAAGCCGAGATGGTTTGTTGCAAAGGAGGGCTAATGGATATATTCATAAAAGGGTGTTGAAGATGGAGCTGCCAGGCAGGAGGAAAAGAGGAAGATCACAGAAGTTCATGGATGAGCAACAGAGGACATGCAGAGGGTTGATGGAGGCAGACGAGTCGCTGTGGCGACCCCTAAAGGGAGCAGCCGAAAGGAAAGAAAGAAGACGATGAAGGAGAACGCAGTAGTAAGCAAATTACATATTAACAGATACTCTTGGTTTCCTGTCAAAACAAGCACTGAACCTAAGGTAAAATATCAACTCACATCACCAAAAACACAGCGGATCATACATTAAAAGCATTACTGCAGGTTCCTGAGGCACTCTATAAAAGCACAACAAGAGTACCGGTCGATACAACCCGAGTTTAAGCTACAAAAAACATTCAGACAACAGGAAGAACACTGGATAAGAGGTTCTAGGTACTGAGAGGCAGAATAGCATATGCAAAAACAAACAAACAAATAAATAAATGAAATAAAAAATTAGGGAAGGAAAAAAAGAGCAAAAGAGATAGGAAAAATTCATAGGTTTGTAAGATTTACCTCCATTACAAGTAACCTTAACCTCTCGCAGCAGAGTGAGAGGGATCTGTAAAACAAGCAGCACAGTCTAGGAGAGAAACTGACATTTTGAAAGAGGTCAGCAGGTAAAGGTGCAGAGACTCCCAGGGGTAGGGGACAAGATCATGGGAGGGTGGGTCATTGGCGACTGATGGGGGG